ACACATCATATACAAGTGGCCAAGTTAGATTTGTTGTGGAGAATGTGTCCTGTAGTTTTCTGATATGATGTTGCCAACCAACAGTAGCCTAAATTGCTGGAGACTGGATCTGAAATATGTCTGAGAATGACCATAATTCAAATGTGAACTCAAAGTACCGCCTATATTTAAATTAAGCATTTTTCTCTTTGTAAAGGAGTTGGCCAAAGATTGCCAAATGACCTATAAAACATCTTGGATTCAACGCTTTGAAAATTACTGTTTCAAGACCAATGTTTGTGCCAGTTTATTTTGGTGAGTAACGTTCAACTGTCAGGCTTTTTCACCAGTTAATTTATGAATTATCAGTACTTATTTTACGGAGGCTTAGTATTCTAAGGGAAGTTTCTAGGGCGTGGGAGGGGTGTGTCACTCTATCTCCCAATAGTTGGTTTAGAAAAAAAGAGGTTGGTATAGTTGAGAATCAACTTTTAAATAAAAAGAATTGTCAAACATTTTGCTGAAATAAAATTCTTTCTTGACCTTTTTTAATTACCATTTCTCTAATGGATCTTTTTTTTTGTTTTAATAATTTAATTAAAAACGTATTTCCTTTAAAACATATCCCTGCAAATCAAAACCAGCTGTATCAAATAAATGCCAAGTTTCCATTAATGGACTTTATAAGAGTTGTGAGGTGTAAAACAATGAAAGATGGGGAGGTCTGAAAAGGTAAGGATTCTCAAGCAGTTCACTGGAATATAATCTTAAAACGTGGTTTGAGACACTTAAATTTCATTTTGACTGACCAATCTCAGTAAAGCAGACCTGATTTAGAATATATCATGGGAGAACAAATAGATCTTTACATATATTGGGTCTAACTAAGAGGCGTTACTGTCCATCATGCCAATGCCCAGAGGATACAAGACATATAGCCACTCAGTGCAACAGGTTCCAGAAATAAAGAATAAGTTTACGGTTGCAAGCTACAGTCGATAGCGTCAATTTTCTAGTCAATAAAGATGATGTACAAATATTAGGACAATTTTGAAATGAAATAAAAGTTCCCAAATAAGCTGATATATATTATTCTCATTTAAGTTTTATTGAACTATTAAGTTACTTAAATTTTAAACTCAAAATATTAGTATGTGTTTTGGATCCACTTTTCATTCATTTTGCAGAGATTTTATTGAATTTAAGCAGTATCATGGGAAATTTGAACTTAAGTTGACAAGTCTTTTAAGGCAAAAAAAAAAAAAATAAAAATAAAACGAACACAATTATCTACATGACTTTAACTGACAAGAGTCATGTTTGGTTTTCCATAAAGGAGATTAATCATCAGTTGTGGTTTAGGAAAAGCTGTAATCGTAAAATGTGAATACTGTTGTGTTGAACATTACAAATTTTAGCAATATTTGTACCTTTAAATAGTTTATAGCTATAAATATTTGTTACTTAAAGAAATAAAGCTTAAAACAGAGCTTTGTCAGGAGATAACAACAGTGTCTATTTTTTAAGAATTAGGCAATTGTCATACTGGGTCCAATAAGTATTGTTTCGATGAACTTATTAAAAGTATTTACAAGTGTCTGTCAGCAATGTTCTCTGATTTTTTCCTCACTTCATTATTTCTTGTTCAATAAATATGTTGTTGAATGATAACAAATATTTTTGTAAAATATATATATATATATATATAAAGTGAAAAAAGGAAATTAAAAAAAAAACGTCCGCCAAGGAAGGTCAGTATAGCTTCCTCACAGTTTGCATTGAATAAAATAAGGACTCAACTAAAGAAAAGAATCAACTAGTTTAACGGGCGCAGGAGTCTCTATAGAGAACCTAAATATATAACTAAGCATACCACTAGGTAAACATGCTACAGTATTTTAAGCAGAGGTGTTGGCTATACTTTCTGCTGCCACCTGTTTTGAAGTTACCAATTGCGAGAATGCTGACATAGGCGGATCTACGAGGGGAGCTTTCTGGCTGAAGCCCCCCTCCAAAAGAATGGTAAAATATAACCGTGTTTTACAAAAAAAAATATCTCTATAAGAATTATTGTTGGTCTAATTACATTTAATAGGACCTAAAGAATTACTTAAACACCATTTCATATAGGTAATTAGTTTCTGTCTTGCTTCAGAAGTAATTATCGTAATATTTACGTACAAAAAAAATCTTTCGGGCTGAAGCTCCCCCAAAATTAAATCCTGGATCTGTTTATGCTTTAAGAAATTAAGTGATATGGTCCATAATCACAGCCAATGAATGCTAATTTTTACCTACTTTAACAAAATCAGAAACAGGTTACTATAAATGTCCCTGCAGCTTGGAAATGTGTTCTCTAAGAAATAAGAAATTCCGATTCCGATCATATTGGGGACCAAATAATCAGAACCTTCCTACATGAAAATATATTTGGCATAAATTTTTAAAAAATAAGAGTCCTAAACGAGATAAATTAATTATAATATCATGATATTCAGAGAGTTGAGAAGGCCTAAACACAAGCCCAAGGGCAAGAACACAATGGATGATTTGTGGGAAGATTCCAGTATTAGGCAATTACTCCAGTAAATGAGTAATTAAATTAATCAATGATCATAAGTACGATTTAATTACTCCCAAGTAATTGTGTGTGTGTGTGTGTGTCAAGAGTGATCACTCTTTATAGTTCAGCCATGAATAAATCACTCATAACTCATTTTATCACAATGAGTAATGATATAAAAAAGTATTTGTCTTTCATTAAATCTATTTTTTGGAGAGTAAAAACGTTCTATACTTATCAAAATATATTACAAATATAACAAAAAAAATTTCAACTTGATTTAAACAAAGAAATATAAACTTTTTATTAGTGGAACAACCAGAAAATAACATTGTTTTTTAATGAAATAAATAAAACAATAATACATAATAGTAGAAAAACAAAAACGGAACCACTTTGAACAATTAGTAAAAAAAACTAGGAAAGTTTTTTCAAGTAATGAGATATTTCCCTTTAGGAATCCTCTTTTTTCAAACAAATTACCCAATAGTTTTATTGCTTTTGGTAAATTCATCATAGCGACCTTTCTACAGGGGCAGAAGGCAACAGTGTTGTACTAGCATCAAATGTTTTTTATGGCTGGGCATTTTTCCAAACTGGCTAACTCTCTTGACAGTTCATTGAAGAAGAGATATATTTGAAACTCAATTGTTAATAAATCTGGAAATGGAAATGATGATTCTTCAAAATCATCATCTTCTCTGGATGTCTCGTTAGTGGAGTGAGGTATTACTTTTTGAAACTCAGGATTTTCTTAAGTAACACTTATAAATATATTTAGTAAATAATCACGATGGGATGCAGTTATAATCTGCAGCTATCTTCTTTTGAATCATGGGTAGGAGAATGCTGCACGAATCGCTTTTTTATAAAAGAAATGAGTGAGGAGTGATTTACTCATGGCAAACCAATTAAGAGTGATAATTCATCACCATGAGAGTAATGATTAATTTAATCATACTCATTACTTATGATCATTTAATTACTCATTAACTATCATTACTTTGTTCGAGCAATTACACAACACTGGCACATTCAGAGATGTAACAAGCTGTGATCGCAGACCATGAACAAAAAAGTAGGCACCTACTTTTTTTTTATTTAATTTTATTAATGATGTTTTACTTCATTTTTCTAGTAATAAATATTTAGAAAATTCATTAACTTTTTTTTAGGCGTAGGCACGCAGTTCCATCGCTCGGTACTGTATCACAGTCAGCCCCCTGGCCTTCCAGATTGGGGGGAAAAGTACTCTGACTCTCATGCAGCACATATCACAACAAAGGCCACCAACAGTACATACTCCAGGGTCACTTTCCATGAATAGCCGTCCCGGATGGAGAATCAAGTCAGAGAGTTCTGAGGAAGCAGCTCCTACATATGAATTAGAGACTGTGAGGGCCACGGGCGGATCTACGGGGAGGGGGGGGCTTTCGGGCTGAAGCCCCCCCAAAATGGTAAAATATATCCATGTTTTATCGAAAAAAATATTTAAAAAGTATCTCTTAAAGTATTATTGTTCGTGTGATTACATTTAAAAGGGCTTTAGGAATCACTTAAACACAATTTCATACAGGTAGTTAGTTTCTTTCTTTTTTTCCAAAGTAATTATCGTCATTTTTATGAAAAAAACAACTTTCGGGCTGAAGCCCCCCCTCAAAATTAAATCCTGGATCCGCTAGTGGTGAGGGCTAATCACCTCCACCCTTTAATCAAAACTATTGCGAATCCCAAGAAAATAAAAAGCTAACACATTAATAGGAAACAATATAATGCATGTCTAACAGACTTTAAAACAGCCTCCTGGAATGTTTTATTACTATAGCAACCTGGAGCCTCAACCAGTTGGAAACATATAAAATTGACATTGCTGCTACACAAAAGATGAGATGGACCGGACAGAGATTTCTGAGCAAGAAGAACCATTCGATCTACTACAGCTGGGAGGATCAACATTACATATATGGGCCTGGATTTGATCTTAGCAGGAGGATGGCTCAGTGGTTAATTGACTTCAAACCAATCAGCCCAAGAATATGCCTCCTTTTTTGAAAGGCAAATATATCAATTTTTCACTGGGTAAGCGTGCATGTACCTAGAGATATCAGATAATGAAGATAAGGATCACTACTTCTACGATATGCTTGAGCAAGATACCGATGCGATCACCAAACATGACATGAAAATTTTAATTGGAAATTTGAATCCACAAATAGCTAGGGAATCAGTTTTTTGTTCCATCATTGGAAAAAAATAGTATCCAAGTCGTGAATGATAATGGAGAGAGACTGGTTAGTTTTGCGGCAGCTAAGGATCTTGTGGTAGCTAGTTTGGTATGTTACAAAAGGGTAGCAAGTGCCTGCGGATATTTCATATCTATAAAATTGATAATAAATTTCATTAAAAGCAAAGGGTAAAAAGGAAAATAAACTTATAAAACGGTTCATAATATCAAGTCGACAGTTTAAGTTAAATTATTATTATTAATTAAAACATATTATTTAACAAAAATTGGACTAACATAATCAGTTCCATTAGTATAAATGTTTTAACGTAACATATATATATTGCTTCATATCTTTGAAATAAAAATCATCATCAATAGAGTAAGACTATTTCATGAGTAATAAATCAATAAAAAGAAAGTAGAGAGTGGTTTCCACATTTGTACTAAATAAATTGTTTTAAAGAATGTAGTCCAACTCATATCTCAAGTATTGGTTCTTGGGATCGTTATGTATTCTGGGATATCCGGCAACGAGAGCATCTTGGCCACCGATGTAAAGAGAGTTGTATATTTTCCAATATACATCTCTAACTTTCCTTGCAGGATGGAACAGCCCCTGAGAATAGAAATCAGAAGAGAACTTAGTAAATTAAAAAGCAATATTTTTAAATTTATAAAATATAGTGATATCACTCATTAATAACTTTCACTAAATGTTTCAAATTTTAAGTAAATAATAAAAGATTGAAATTAATTTAGATATTTTAAAATTAAATTAAAAATGATTTCATAACAAAAATGTTGATAAAACTTTAAAATATCAACCAGTCAACTTAAATATCATTTATAGAGCTTCTCAGAATTTAATTTTGATTATTTTATTTGATAGACAAATCCTTTCTTTATATTACCCATTGCAAAGAACTTCAGAGTTTATGACTACTACCTATATTTGACAACAAGAACAGATGTTATAGGCTAGGCAATGACTTTATAATAATTACACACACAAAAAAAAAAAAAAATTAAAACGGCAAAATCTTTTTTTTCCTTTAAAACTTAAAAGTAAACATCCAAGTAAAACTATTGAATATATGAGACCAAAGAAAAATGCAAGCTTCATCATTTTGAAAGACTAAATAAAATTGAATACTTTTCTATGAGATTCCAACAGGTTTAACTTAATTACAGTTCCTTCAGAACACAATCTAAAATCAACTTTAAAATTAAAATTTAAAATAAATTGCATATCGTTTTAATAAGTTAATAACTTTGATTCATTTAAATTGATGAACAAGTTCTAATTTATAATTTTACCATATTCAATTATTTGTACAAAATAAAAAGTGTTTATTTGATTTCTACATCAATTTAAAACAGTAATTATTTGAAATGTTTTAAAATATATCTAATGAGTTGACAATGACTCACCTGAAGGGTATATTGCAAAATTTTGATTGGGCCCAGAGCAACTCTAAGGCCTTCAACGGCATCCATGAATGCTTGTACCAAGTGAGGGGATGTTTCAAAGATATTTGGCCAGACATGGTTGAGGAGGTGGAGAAGGGCATCCTCACAGCCGAAGCCATATACTCCAAGTGCCATATGCTTGATGGCAGCACACGCAGTCTGCCGGTGAACTAGATCTCTAGATGAGAACAAAGCACAACAAATTATATCTGACCTTTTCATTAAAGTATGACTATTTTATTAAAGGTCAAAAAAAGTACAGTAGAACCTTGATTAACTAGCTACTCAATTAATCTGGGATTATTCTCTTTTATTATTTTTTAAATTTACTCACCATTGATGTATTTGAATATTATAATATAACTGACCAAGAGACATGCAAGCTTCATTAGTTTGATAGATAAAAATTTGTCAAGACTGATAAAACAAATATGACTGACTAAAGTTTTAAATTTTTATACAAATTTTTTTTTTTCTATGAAATTCAAACAGGTTTAACGGATAAAATTAATAAAATATTATGATAAAATGTAAACATAGTATCAGGATGAAGGAAATAAATTAACGTTTACCACTTTAAAGAAGTGATTAAGAATAATTGTTTAAGAAGAATCCTCCTTCTAATATTTAATTTAATTTAAAAAATCAAAAATGAAATCTTTTTCTAAGGTTTATTCTTTGATACCATACTTCCAGTGTTGCTGAACAGAAACTACTATTTATATAAAATATGTTAATGGAACAAAAGTGTAAAGTTTTACATTTAGAAAAAAAAATTGAATTCATAAATTGTCCTGATAATGAAAATGTAATCTAAAAGAAATAGCTAAATTAACTAAAAAGGCACTTTCACATTAGAACTTCAACCTGAATCAGACAGTGAAAAAAAAAATTTTAAAATGCAGAAAATCAAGAAAGAATTAAAACTCAACTAATTTTTTTTTAACGAGATAATGCTGATTATATAAGAATTAATGAAAAAATCTGGTGCACGCAAAACACAACTTTCACTTATCGCTCTCCTTTGAATAGGAATTATTTTCTGGCATTCTTGGGCTGTTATAAAAATTTTTAAGTGCATTTTAAACGGAACTAAAGCTTAAAGATTATAGATAACAAACCGTTAAGACCATTAAAATAACAAAATTTAATTTATTATATCGACGGTAGACAATAAAAATCTAGTTACTCCATCTGTTTCCATAAACCACATAACTTCAGTCTTTGAGCTATGTGTACCTTTCAGATGACAGAATGACTAATTCTGATTTCAACTTTTTTCAGTAAAATCATTTTAGTGATATTTCTTGTTGGAGAAGTTATATCTATACAAACAGTGAGTAAGTTGATTCCAGATTAGGTGATTGCAGTGTTGAAATAAAGAACTGTGAATAAAGATGTAAATTTCTCACTAGAAACATCACCAAAATTAATGCAAGAATGTTGAAATTGAAGTTAGTTATTCTGTCAACTGAAAGGCACATGTATGATAATGGATGGCTATAAATGATTATGGATTGTAGAATTATAAGTTATTTTCCATTATAAAGTTTATTAAAATGAAATTACGAGATTTTAATTGCCTGCCTAGATAGGTCAAAAGGTGTCACACTAATAGTAAGTGGATAATGTTGAGATATCGCAAAGGGAAAATTCATCAAATTATTTACTAATTTAATTTTCTAAAAGGTTATTACTTGATGATTTTTCGAAATAAATGGTCGATAGATATCTAATTATTTAAATATAATATAAGATATAGAGTTATTAAACTACAGTAAATATATATAAGGTTACAAACATATCCATGAAATATTTTCATATTTCACTTCTACAATGAATTAGTATTTTAAACAAGGTCATTGCCTTGATTCGGTGGATTTTAAATACTTTCTTTTTCAAACTTAAGCAAACATTAAAAGTTTACATTTAGTTAGAAAATTTCATTTAATTTCCTTGGAAACATGTGATTTACATTGAATAATGTTAGTAAGAAAACTAACATTAATAATTAATGTTAAAAAAAATAACATTAATAAACAAAAATAACATTAATAATTAATAATTTAAGAAAACATTATTATTTGTATTTTTTTCGCCATTCTCTGTTACCTTCTACAACTTCATTTATTTTATATTATATTATTTATCAGTTTTGTACAACTTTCATTTGTGTTCACATACACACAAACCATTTTGCAGGACTTGGTTATTTCGACTCAGGGGACCTCCTCAAAATGTGTATATCCGTTGAATGAATTGTCAGATTCGAAAATTTTCACGATCCCAATACTTTTTCTTACTATATAATACATATAGTGTGTAGTTCTAAGTGAAAGCAAAATGGGCAAAGAGGTTAGAAATAAAATGACAAACTGAACATTTTTGCTATTACATTCATGATGCAAATATAAATTATTTTGGATACATGTAAACATTATTTTTTCTGATAAAAATAAATTTATTTTTGTATTACACTGACAATTTCTTTTCATACTTATCAACCATTAGAAAGTATGTAAACAAATTTAATTACCTTTGTTTTTATTTACAGGACACAATCCTTCCTATTATTAGCCTAAATAATCAACGTTTCACTATAAATACATCCACATTTCGAACTTAAACGTATTAGAGAAAATAATAATTTAAAATTCAAGGAGTACAAATAAAATACTATAGGGGGCGGGGTGGCCGAGTGGGCTAACGTGTGTGCACAGCACCACTGTTGCCCAGCAACCTGATAATTTAAGTTAGAGATGGAAAAATAATTACGAGTTCAAATCCCAGTGCCCAGTGGGACTTTTAATTTGGCATAATTCCCCAGGCCTGGAATAAACCCTGTGTAGCAAAAAAGGCAAGGAAGGGGAAAAAAACAAATCAACAAATAAATTAAAAAAATAACTTTCCATAATTTTAAATAATTAACCAAAATTGTAAAGCATGCTGAAGAAAAATGTGTAACGTTTTAAGAAAGTTGTTCTTACAGGCTTTGGCACCTTGAATATCAAATAGCTACGGAAGGAGAATGATTATTATAAATATAACACTGCTACAGCCAGACTAGAATCCCCAGCTGGGGGAGTAGGGGCACACTGAGCTAGTCTGCTTCCTAATAACAATAACCATATTGAAATTGAGATATTTTCCTTGATTGAAATTTTCCAAAAATTACAATTTTTGGGCTTGTAAGGTATGAGGTAAGTCTGTAGAAGTGAAATTTCAACTTTGGCATATAGTTTGAATCTTTTAGGTGTTTAGGCATTAGGCATGAACCAAATAATTTTACAAGAGAAAGATAACAAGCATTTTTTGACTTTACTATTTTTTCTTACATGAATTTCACATCTTTTAGACAGTGCAGAACGAATATAATTAAAGGATGAAACGGAATCGATCAATTGACTGCTTGGCCATCTCTATATACTTAAAAATAATACCTTTACATATTTTAAAGACATTCTTCTTAATATCATAAAAATTAAAGCTTTTCATTTAGATAACTTATCATTTAGTTAATAATAAAAAAAAAATAGAAACAAATATTTAGTTACCTGTCCATGAGGGCATCCTCCAGCAATGGAGTAACAGCATATATGTAATCCTTCCCCATTTCTCCAATATATTCAAAGAGAAAAGAGAGAGATTTCAGTACACCATTTTGCACATTCAGCTCTGGTACCCTGTATTCATTCATCAGCGCAGGAAGGACGGTAAAGGGGGAACAAGTCTCAGCAACAATGGCAATAGCGACCGTCGTACACACTCTGTTTTGCCTCTCCTGCACTTTTAGGTTGTTTAGCAGTGTTGCGAGTACATCATGGGGACTGTTGTCAAATAAACGAAAGTAATTATAAAAAAATATTTTAGGCATGATAAAAATTAATTCAAAAGTTGGAAAAGAAACAGAAAAAAAATTTTAACAAGAAAAAAGATACATTATTACTATAATTCTGAAAGACATATTCATTAAAAATAATCGCTATAGTATAATTCACTTACAGGAAAAATGGTTTTGAGGTTCAGCATCAGGGGAAAAGGTTGATTAACGTAATACATTTACACTCCATCATTAAATGATACTCATTAAAATTTAAAATTTGGTCTTCTTCAAAATCTAATTATTACGGATTGTTTCTATATTCATTAATTCTATAAAATTGAGTTTTAAGCATTTTAAACCAGTTTAAACTAAACTAAACAGATTTTTTTAATAATCATAGCATTGCTCTTATTGAATTGTCTTGTTAAAATCACGCATATCACCAAACTCTAGCCGACAAGATAATATAACCAAATAAATTTAAGATAACATGAGCATACCCAATAGCTTTGGCAATGTAGCCGAAGGTGTTGACTGTCGCTCTCCTGATGGCTTTCTTGTGTGCTTTGAGCAATTCTAACAGTTCAAAGCAAATTCTCATCCACTCCCTGGCAGATACGTACTCAGGGCCTCTGTCTGCTATCCTACCAACTAGGTCAATGCAGTTCTCTTGTACCTGTAATAAATACAAATTAGTCCAAACCTTTAGTGCAAGTAATATGAATCCTTGACTTATCTGTGTTTACTTATCACAAAGAAGTATTAGCTGTGTACATGGAGTCAACTGACTTTGTTAATTTAACTTTCCAACTTTTTGAAGAATTTTTAAGAAAATAAATGATCGAACAGCTTAAGGGATCCTAGTGTGACAAATAATTCTAATTCAAAATAACAACAGAAGTTTCCACTTAAAAAGCTAACCACACTCAAATTACATCTGATTCTTTTGAAAAAAATGTCTGTCAGCTTTGTTGATCATTTCTTACAGTAGAAATCCTGACAATTCATAAAACTAACAAAAACTAGTAAAAAAAAAACATTTAATGTCTATCCATAATTCTCTAAAAATTTCAGGCATATTAGAAGTTAAAGACTATGCTAACAGTTGCATTAATTCATTTATACATATCGTAGGATACATTTAAAAACAAACTAAATTTTAACACCAAATAAATAATAACCTTTTCATGTCTGTTCTTTAATATAGGAGTTAGCCTAGGCAGTAGATCTTTGATGGGTGGAGTCATCTTTGTCATACCAATAACATTGACGATGGCCTTAAGTGCACCTAATATACTTCCTAATACTTCAGGGTATTCCTCACCAAGATATTCATACAACACAATGCCTAAATGACCCATGAGTTTTTCCTAAAACATCAAACAGGACAAATGAAATTTAGATATTAAAGTTACAACAAATACTAACATTAAATATTATAAAAAATACAGTATAATCATATATTTAATGATAAAACCTATTAATCAGTAAATACTCCAGACATAAATAATATAAACAATTTTAATAAGATGAAAAAAATTATGATTTACTTCTTGGCAGGTCTTCATAACAACAGCAATTCTCGAGATCAAATCTGCAGCTTGCTGTCTTACTTTGGCTGACTTATTATTTAACCTCCACAAAATTGTACCACAGATCTGAGGCAAATAAGGCTTCACCCTCTTGCCAAGCTGGTTAACTATTGTACCAAAACCATTCAACATCACAACGTCCTGTAAAGTAAAAAAAAATTAAAATCATATAATTCAATAAAATAATTATAAAACTAATACTATTAATCCTTGGTTAACACACGTTCACACCGGAGTGCACCACCGTTGGCCCGCACTAGATTGTCTTATGGGGCAGCGCGTACCACCAGTGGCCCGCACTTCATGCCTTTCTCCTGCTTCTATTTATAGATTCATCAGAATCACTTATTTCCATATCCATGTTAACTATTTTTTATAAGGACAAGAATTTAAAAAAACACTCTAGCCATCTTTCTAGTTATACTTACTGGCAGAAATCTGTGGCCAGAATGAAAAAACGGAATTACACAAATTGCATTCACTGTACTACTGAGCAAACATACAACATGCAGCTCTGAACAGGCAAAAATCGCGCCCGCCAGATGAAGCGCGGCATTAATTTCAGCGTCGCCTCACAGCAAAAAAATAAAGATCGGTCCCGGCGTGAACGTGCTAAGTATAAAAAAAATCGAGCTAATACAAAACCAACATGCATCAGCATTGTTTATTTTCCATTTTAAGTAATGTCACTTCGAAGTTAAAAAAAAAAATGAAAAATTGATTTTTCATTAATCCTTATTTCATTGGTGAAAAAATAATTGTTATGAGAAAATAAAGTTATAATAAAAAAAAAAAAAAACAATGAAATTTAAAACGTTTTTAAAGGAAAAACTTTTTGTCAATTAAATTTAGTTCCAGCCTCAAAACTACATTTAAACTTTTATATCAATTCAAAAATATTTTTTAAAGAACAATATTTTCCAGTGGGATATGCACACTAATTACTTAATAAATAAACTGTTACTTAAACGTAGTCATTGAAACAACATAGCATCACACATTGTATGTGTTGAACAGGCTCTTGATAATATTACAATATTTATATGAATGAAAATGTTGGTTAATGCTACTTAGGCCTCGAATTTATTAAGGAAAGGGATATCTACCTTTATGAGAGTTCTCACTCCGGTATATTAGTAATTTAAAACAAAACCAGTTTACTTACATTGTAGTATTTATTTTATTTTAAATTAACCGATCACCAACAAAAAATTATTTTGACAATTACTACCACAAAAATAACTTTATTTTATTGTCATAATTGTGGATTGATGGTTGACTGTAGTGAATAATTGAAGAGAAGAATGGTTGGGGTGATCAGTAAAAAATAAAAATACATATATATATACATATACATATATATATATATATATATATATATATATATATATATATATATATATATATATATATGTATTTTTATTTTTTACTGATCACCCCAATATATATATATATATATATATATATATATATATGTATTTTTATTTTTTACTGATCACCCCAATATATATATATATATAAATATATATATATATAAAATAAGCATTTATTTTTTTTTAATGATCACCCAACCATTTTTCTCTTCAATTATTTTATGGTCATTATTAGTGATATAAGAGAAAATTATTTAAGATATCTATGAAACTTATTATGGTTAATGATGAATGACAAATAAATCTGATTAATATAAATTTAAAATACAATGGTATATCATATTATCATTATGGATTTTACCTCAGTAGTCTGTTCCTGGAATGCATAGAGTATACCGTCAATCAGTTGTTCTTCCAATCTACTGTCAATGTCAGCAGCTCCTAGGTTTCCCATGGTCTTCTCAATACTTTCCATCACCATCTTCCGGTACTGTTCATTCTCATCTTTTAAGTCATCTACAACTCTGTTAATGATCTCACTAGCTCCTACTTTGTTAGCTATTTCAACGGTCGTGTCAACCAACTGAAACAAAATATAAGTTATTTTCCAGTCTAGTTGACAATCTAATTAAACTCTACAATAAAACCAATGATTGTGTACCTGTCGATAATTTCTCCTATCCAAGGCCATTCTATGGTTCCAGAAATGTTTGAAGAAATGTGGTAAAATTTCATCTTTGATGTACTGAGATTCAACACCATCAGTACCACAACACTGTTTTACTACCTAAAACATAATTTATTTAAATAAAACTAAAATAAAGGTAAAAGAAAATGAACTTCATTTAATACTGTCCAGACTTTAAATTTTGCTATCACTAAATTGTATATCAAAATGTGAATAGGGGACCTATTGTAAGTAGAAACTAATGAAAATAATTTATTTGTGAAAATTAATTTTTTTAACATTTTACTTGAGTTGTTTTAAATCATTTTAATTTTTGCATAATTAATATTGTTTAAAAAATCAAACTGATATAAAACTTACTTTCAATACAATTTTTTTCATTTCTTCATCAGGAGACTGAAACTCTCGAATCAAAATCAACATCACTTCCCTAGTATAATAATTGGCATATTCAGCATCCATCAAGGGTATGAGGTAACCAATGGCCTTTAAGAAGGCAGCCAAACCCTAATGATATGTAAAAATCCAATTAGTGAAAAATCATTTTAAAAATCAACAAATTAAACAGAAAAAAAGAAAACTTACTTTACCACGATGTGTCCTAATACCTTTCCACAGTGGTTTCAGAACAGAGTCAAAACTTTCGATACCGTATGGAGTAGCAGCTTCGGCAAGGGCAGCCATAGCAAGAGCTGTTATAGTCCGTACTTTTTGCTGTTCATCAACGAGGCCATGTTCAATAATTTCAACCAAACTTTTTAAATGGGGTAGAATAGCACAACCCATTAATATGGCTATTTGCTGTACAATCTTAATACCTAAATAAAAATACAAAAAATTCTTTGAAATATTTTACATACATTTATTTAAAAGTTTATCAATTACAACTAAATTTTTTTGGAAGCAAAACAAATATTTATTTGTTTTAAATAAATACTTGATAAGAAAAAATGCCAATTTTAACTAATATTGATTTAAAAGCTTGCCAACAATTAATAAGACTCCCAAGGAGTGAGTGGCAAACTCAAGCAGCTATAATTTGAAATGAAGTTTTTTTCACTCATTGTGAGATGTTATGAGCAAAACATTAACAGTTATAAAACAATTGGAAGTTTTGAGTGTTTTTGGATATTAATAAAATAAACCTTTACCATAATTACAAATTATTGAGTACTTTCAAAATAACTAATTCAAATATTTAGGTCTGGCAAGGTTATACAAGTAGCATTCACACCAATCTTAAATTACCTGAAGTTTAAAAATATTAAAACTACGCTAACCTAGGAAATTCGGTATACATAACATGAGCACTTAGGGACTCGATGTCTTAATATATGAATCTTGTTCTTTATTATGCTACTAGCTCATTTCACAAATTGAATAACAAGCCAACTCTTAATGATTAAAACAGAAGAATACATTTTTTTTTCTCTTTCGATACTGTTTCATTCCTTTATTTGATTCATTCCTTTTATTCCTTCATAGGTATGTGCATTTATCACTTATTGTTTTATCACAATTTCAAAATAAAAGGGTCTCACTAAATGCCTCCTAGTGGGCCAGTAACCTTCTATCTTCACACACATTGACGGTACCGTCCCTAAGAATTGTACTACTACGTCTCACTGTCAGTTCCTACTCCAAGAAAATAGTTTTCCTATTTTCAAACTACAATTTAAACTTGTTTCAATTTTAACAGATACATTTAAAAAACAACGGAAATGGATGATTAATAAAAATAATAATATTAAGTTGTTTAGAACACTAACATTACAATATCTTACAAGATAATGTTGTAATCTTGTAATAGTTTTGTCTTTTTGAGAATAATATTGGAGGAGAAGGAAAAACCCATTTCCAGCCTGATACATGAGATATACAATTAAATGTCCTACAATATTCGCTTTAAGATTATTACTTCTTATATTTTTATCAAAAGTACCTATTCTTGTACCAACAACTCACCTGTATGTCTAGCCTGCCATGACTTCTTGCTACGGCAAACAGCCTTTAGAAAAGGTAATAGGGAAGGTATGCCAAGAGCTGAAGCAACGACTGCAAAAGCCCTAGCCGTAGTGTTTCTGACGTACTCATCAATGTTGTCTATATCAGGTCTCATGGTGGAGATCATAGTCGCAAGACCAGCAGCTTTGGCCAGATTAGAAATGATTTCTCGGCCTTCAACACGAGCATAGTAATCTTCATCAATTAACAGAGGTTCAATAACTACAAGGATCTGAAAATCAAAATCAATAAATACTATCAGTATGTACATATACTATTCGATTATCTTTAAAAAATTAATAATCCATAGTAAAAAAGGTTGCTGATTCATATAAAATTGTTTTTTCAAGTAATATTTTAAGTAAATGATCCATGCAGATATAAAGTAATCAAATAAATATTATACAGTAATAAATATTAAACTTGTATAAGCTTTTGACTAACCTTGTGGACGTAAGGACGAACTAAATCATCAAGTTTGTACAAAATTCTGTCAATAACTTTGACTAATAAGTGACGTTCCTGATCTTCAAGAGTAGGAGACATAAGCAAAGGCAAGATTTGATTGAACAAGGGGCCAGCTCCAAATTCCCTTGCTTTGTCAGTGATCTGTCTTAAGGCAGCCTTCCTCATTGGCGGTGTACCATTTTTGATCTTGAGCAAAAGTCTCATGATTTTACGCTCTTTTTGCTCCTCAGGGGAGAGTGTTTCCTCATCAACATCAACCTATAGAAAACCATTAGTCAGAAATTAAAAATACATTAGAACCTTAAACATTAGAAATTAAATAATACAACTATGCTAGGATTTTAATTTTTTCAATAAAAAAAAAGTAAATAAAATTTGAATGCATAATAAAACAAAGTTTCCTTACAAGCAACTTGTCAAAGTATTGAGCATCTTCTGGTTTCAAGAAAGGTAAATTCCCCTTTGGCTGATTGTCAACAAACTTAGCGCCTTTGTCTTCTTGCTGAATGAAAAATCCCTGTGGGGTGCCAGCTATAGGTGTCGGTGTTGCAGTTAGTTTTCTTCCTGGTGTTCTTATTGGAATGTAGCCTAAGACATTGATATCAAAATAAAATGTTTTAGTACTCTTAAATTTCAAACAGAAAATTATTTATTCTATAATTATATCATATATGAGAATAGATAATTTAATGAAGTTTGATAATTCTTAAAACAGCAATAAAAGAATTACTTCACATCATAATGTTCATATGAATCGGTAGAACTCATAAAAACTCATCAGAAAAAAAAAAAAATTGAAACAACGGCAAGATTAATACTGACTTATTGAATTCTTCTTAAAGGTTCTAAAATAATCATGGGACCAGCCTTATATAATAAAAATATTTTATTTCCCTTTACAATTAAGAAGCAGTGTACATTAGAAATTATCTGTTTACTCTACTCTTAATTTATAATTATGATTAATTATTTACTTAATCATTAAAATCTCATTATTCTGGAGGAAAGATGATCACTTTGGGAGAGAACATTGGCCATTCTTGAGAGTAAAAGACTCTCAAGTGTAAGCATTGATTCTCTGATAAAAAAAAAGGCTTCCAAATGAAAAATATTTATGCTTTTATTGACAAAGTCTAGATTTTAAACTTTTGTAGGATATACATTTATTTGCAGAATATTTTGTTTTGTTTTTTATTATTGCTGTTGTTTTGTGAAATTGGTTACCGTTTCTTAACTAAAGTAAACAAAAACCAGGATTTTTTCCACCTAATTTTCATGAAATTAACAGAAAAAAATATGGTAAAAAGTATTTTCAAACGTTTTATGATCACTATTGCTCACAACTTCATAATACAAAACACAAATTCAAATTTGATGCAATCTAAAACTTCATTAATTTGTATCCCAATTTATTCTCTTGTAAAAAAAATTAAACTACAAGAAAACTCCTGACTAAGTTAACAAATATTTTCAAAGTTAATTGATATTGAGCTGTAACTCACCAGCAGGGGGGTTGAGGATCTTGTAGCCAGGGGGAAACATGGATTCTAACTCATCATCTGTCAATGGCCTGTTCCTCTCATCAATTTCTCTTTCCCACCTATAGGCCTGCAGTTGCTCAGGTGTCATCGTCATTAAATGACCTACAAAACAAAAACTAATAAAAAAACAGAAAGGTATTTAAAAAATAAAGAAAAAAGAATAAGATAGAGTACCCGGTGTAGGAGTGGCCATAGCCATGGCCTTTTGGCCGGTTGGTGTCACACTTGGAGCAATCAGTGGTGTAGTGACCGCGGCTGGTGTCTGAGGTGTCATACCACCTGCAGGGGTAGCTGATGGAGTTTCATCCCATCGAGATCTTCTCTTACTGGCACTAGGAGTAGGAGTATCCTGAATAAAAAAATTACAAATAATTAAAACATTCACCAAAATTAAAACTTATCAGAGGAATTAATACCAATTAAACAGAAATCATTACTTGAATTAAATCTGCACCTCCAGTCCTATCAGTTCTCGGTGTTTCAGCCCAACCACTGTGACCGGGAGTCTCTGTAACAAAATAAATTATATATTATAGATGTACAGTTTATTTTTCAAAATTATTATTATTATAAAAACAAAAAATGGAAAAAAATTAATAATACACAAAAATTTGCAATAGAGAAAAATGTCAAGACTAAAATTGTGCATATTAATTCAGGTTTAATAGGAATGGGCGGTTAATATTTTGGAACAAATAAAAATAAATTTTATATTTTCATATGAGTATAAAAAGTAGACCAAGTAATACACTCCAGTACTCTACAATAAATACACCTATGTAAGTATGTTGCTGACAACAAAATAGGAATTCCACTACTACACAAGATATTTAGCAGACATTAGATTAATAGATAAATTTTATGTAAAAAAATACTCACTTCATATAGAAAATACTAGATTTTAGGAAGAAAACAAATCTTAATCTTAACTAGTTATATGTAACAAAATACAAATGGATCTAGTCTACAATTTTTCCAAATCACAAAATAAAATTTAAATGTTGAGAGAAAAATGATTTAAAAACTCAATATATTTGGAAATGGCTAGTTACCTCTTTCAGTTTTGGGAGTTTCATCCCATCTATTTCTCCGAGAGGCTTGTGTGGCAGGAGTTTCTCTTCCTGGAGTGGCATGGCCTGGTGTGGCATGACCAGGTGTAGCGTCCCAAACCCTGGTGCTTGGAGTAGCACCGGGAGTCTCGGAACCTTTTGCATGACCTGGAGTCTCCTCCCAGCGTGCAGCGGCTGGTGTTGCTTCCTGTCCACATAAAATAAATAAATAATTAACTCAACAGATTAATTATGAAGCTTTGAGATTTCGCATTATATTTTTAAGAAGTGTAAATCATTAATGATTCATAAAAATTTAGTTCCTAATTCTCATAATTATCTTTCAACAAGATCTTAAGCAAGATAAGAACAATTATTCGTGTTTATCACACGCTTATTCCATTCCATTTTATTGTCCAGCCTAACAGCTAAATGTTTCACCTCTCTACTAGATATTAGCTGGATACCATGAATTTTAGGTAGCCTTATTACAACACCATTTTCTTCATTGTGAAGATGCACACATTTATCTTAGCTGGGTTGACACGCAGTCTACTGGCACCATCCCTCCGAGACTCCTGTTGTAAACCTCAACAGATGAGAAAGAACATTTTGATGTTCTCCGCATATAAGAATAGCGATATCGTCTGCATATCTCAGTGCATAGAATCCAGCAGCATTTAGTGTGACAAGCAAGAAGTCCACCTCCACCAGTCTGAATCCGTATTTTAGTATGTCCAAGTTGAGTTTTAAGAATTCTGGTTTCCAACATGTTGCCAATCTATTTGGTAACAAGAGGATCTATTTTCCTTGTCCTTGAAGTATCCATAATGATGTTATAAGAAGTCCTATCAAAGGCACCTTCGATGTCTTAATGGATTTTTCAATCCTTGAGACCAGATTTTGTAGTGGCGCTTTGCATGATTTATCAAGATGGTAGGTGAATTGATTTGAATGTAAAGAATTCGAAGTCAGTGATTGCTCTCTTATATGCCTGTCCAAAATCTTTTCCATCTTCATTAGGAAAGACGACATGCATATTCTTCTATTCTAGGGCATAGTGACAAATTATGTTACAGCTGAAACTAAAAAGATAATCGTAAAGAACAATCTCTGCTATTTCAGCTTGTGCAAAGAATTTTATAGCCACCTATAATCTAGAAAAATCATAGTCCAGCTCTACGAAACCTCGATATGGTCAATCCTTCTCTAGGAACACTCACTCAAAATGATGAGGATGATCTGATAATTGAAAGATCTTCCGAAGAATATATAGAGGAGTTCAAGTTGCTGGGCAATGGAGAAGATGCTACAACCAGGAATTATATGCCATGTTCCCCGAACCCAACGTTGTTCATGGAACAGGCTAAGGTGGGCAGAATATGTGTCAAGGATGGAAGAGAAAGACATACCAAAGAAGAAATATCTTAAGCAACCAATGTATGGCACAAGAGGGAGAGGAAGGCCTAGATTGCATTGGATTCATGTTGTGATTGAAGATGCAAGGAAGGAAGGAACTGGATGAGATCCATACAGGACAGGGACAATTGATGGCCAGGACTTGAGACCCATAATAATGATGATGAAGAATTTCATTTATAAGCTAAAATAAATCTGAATTAATACATACAAAACTTTAATGAAGATGGTGGTCAAGATTCATACAAAAAATTGTAAAATATTTTTGTTATATGTTGGGTTCTTGTATAATCGAACAAGGGCAGGACCGGATTACCTAAAGGTTACAACATATTCTAGCTCAAGTGAGGTCAAGATTGATTTTGTGGGTATGCGACAAAATAAGTTTCAACACATCCATATCAAATATAAAACAGCAAGGCTTCAAACTTGAGGACACTAAAGCAGACAATACCACAAGTTATGATCTAAAAAATTTTTGTGAATGGCAAATGATTCCTTAAGTCATTGTTACCTCCAATTTGGGATTAAACATTAACCTTTAAAAAATAGTTTTTACCATTTTTGTTTGTCTTGACTGCTACAACGCAACTATCTTCGTCAGTAATATTACTATGGCCAGCCGTTCAGTGCGAACAAATTTTATTGATTTTATTATTAAACAAGTTAAGAAGAGAAAGTAAATTAAGCTACAGTAATATCATTATAGTTAAAGGAAATAAAATTTACAGTTGTGTCACACTAGAGGATATTATACTTTTAAAAAATATGATACATATATACATGATACTTCCACTGAATAGAATAAATAACGAAAGATTCACAAACCTCATCTTTCTCCCACGTTGCATCAGCAGCTTTCTTCTTAGGTGCTGAAGCATCGGTGTCAACAGTCTGGTCCCAACGACCTCTCTTTTTTGCTTTTACCTCACCGTTAGTTGTAGTTACAGGTTTGAGAGTACCTTCTTTGGCTTTTTCCACCATTTTCCGCCTAATCTGAAAGGAAATAAAAAAAAAAAATTGTCACTGTTTTGGAAAGGCCTATCACAGCGTTTCCACAGTGCTCACTACAAGACATATTTTCAATAAATGAGACAACAGACATTTAAAGCAATAAATGTAGTTAGATTATTACATCACATTTCTACAATTAGTAAGCAATTCTGATGAGTTAAGATATTGTGAATGTATCTAAAAAAAAAAAAGTTTAGAACTAAATATGATCTGAATATTGTAAAACTAAATCAAAATCAAATATTGAAATAAATTATTAATTTTTCAGATGTTCCAACTCTGTTCTCATAAATTTACCCAAAAATTGCAAATAATCATACAAAACATAAGTATAATTTATGCTAATACTCACCTCATTTTCTTCTCCTCTCAGAATTTGTTCTTTCATAATTTCAGTATACGTTCTAGACCCGATATCTGGGGTCTTCCCACCTAATGCATGCACAGAAACAGAAATAAAAAATTATTAACATATATTAAAAGAGGGAAAAATTAAAGGATATTAATATCTGACACCTTACCATTTATTCTCAATTAAGTCCTCAATTAACTTTTTTTTAATGATATAAATTTAGAAAATAAATAATAAATCATTTACAATAAATTCAGTTTCATTACTGTCAGTCAGTTGGTAAGTAATGCAGGAATAAGTTCGTTCCTGAGGACTAAAATATTGAGGACTTATATCAATGCATTGCACTTATCAAAATATATACATACATAACTTTCTTACTGAAATTTAAATTGAAAAATATAACTATAAACAGTTTAAATTTTCAAAGCACAATACTAAATCAAATTTAACATGAGATAAAATAAATAATAGCAGTAAGGATAAATAACAAAAAAAGGTAACACCGATCCAAAACAAATGCCACTATGGATTGCACTAATTAAGATATAAAAACTCTTAAATAGAATAAATTTTATTAATGAGCAATAGTTCCTATACTGCTTCTTTAATAAATTAAAAAATAGAATTTAAAAAAAAAAGTATATAATGGGTATTACAGAGAATCATTATCATAGTAATAAGGAGGCCATTCACACATCATTATTGTAAGGCAACAGGTGGTACACCACGACATGTCACACAAGAAATCGTTTGCTATAAAGTAATTCCCCTCCCCTTCTCCAAAAAAAAAAAACCTTTAAAGATAATAGGGAATTGACTTTTAGTACAATATGATATTTAATACATTAGACTATGTAATCAAATAAAATGGGAATTTTTATTTTAACATGAGAAGGAGTTGATCAGGGGGTGCGGTCAGATAAATACTAAATTAAACAAATAGTATTATTTAATTTTTGCTGACGTTTCGACCCACTTTGCAGGTCTTTATCAGGGCATAGGTTTCAACTGGCTCCCGCAGTGCTACATCCTACACTCTGATAAAGAACTGCAAAGTGGACCAAAACTGCAAAAATTAAATACTATTTGTTTAATTTAGTATTTATCTGACCACACCCCCGATCAACTCCTTCTCATATTATATCAATGGTCAACCATCTCTACATCATTTATATTTTAACAATAATTACTAAAAACAAATTTTAATGTTTCGTATTCAAAATATAAGTTAATATTAAGAATAAAATCAAACATTACTAATCATTATGAAAGTAAAAAAAAAAAAAATCATTTATAGCTTTATTGTTTAGTATCTATTTATTCAAGCCATTAGATATAACAGAATATAATGACATGACATTAAAATTAAAACTTATGCTCTCATTATTTCATCTTTTTGGGGAATATAACATTCAATTGCAAAGGCAAGGGGAAAGGAGGATTATTCAAAATGTAATCTACTACAAATGACATATGACTATTCATCATTAGGGGATCAAACACTAATTTCTTAATCTTCTGTAAACATCATCAAATAATAAAGTTACAGGATAATATAAAAAGTAAAAACATGATTAATGATTCAATTTTTAATATTTTAACAAGCATGAAAATAGAAGCAAGTATCAAATCTCATTAGATAGGAGAAGTTCAACCATTAATAAAATTGTAGCAATAGTCTGTCTAAATATACATCATGAATTCAATAATTAAATATCTCTTTAATTAATAGTATTTTTCACACTTTTAAAACAAAAGCTTTCTAACTTAAGGTTTCGACATTGATAATCCCAAGTTTTTAAACAATAGAATAAATAAAAATGATAACTGCAATGCATTGAGTAGAAACTTAATTTAAATACGTACATGATAGGGAGTCCCCTCCGACTCTTCTTAAATCCAATTATAGCCAGTCTCTGCAAAACCTGCAAATAGCCTTGGGGTTGATTAATAATTTTCTATCAGACACATTCTCACACACAATTTCACCACTAAAGAGGGATTTTACATGTGCGGAGGCAAGTTCGTATAGGATATAGCTTACGATTTGCAATATATCAGGAATATTGCCTCCGACTCTCCTTAGAGCGGACGAAACTGAAATGGAATAGATAAAGTTTATTAGAGCCTTGTTCTTAATAAAAACAAAACAGAAACAGAAAAAAAGACATTGTTTTAAGTAGAAGCAGCCTCTAGGTCTAATTCTTAAATAGTAAATTTTATTTTTTTGTTAAGCTGCTTTTAAGCTTTAATGCCGTGCCGCCACGCGCCACAAGTCTCCATATTGTAGCTTTCAAGTATTCAATCAAGCCAGATAATAACTGGCCTTTTTTTTTTATTTACTATTAATGGAACTTTGTTATAATTTGTAACTTTTTCCTTTTACGCTTGGCGTGAGGTCTATGAAGAGCCATCTGAGCCGCATCATGCTGTTGAAATCTTCACTCCAACTGTGTCTCCTCTCAAAGAAAGAAACCCTCTATTAGTAAAATCTCATACCCTCGAAAACAATGTTTTATTTAAACAAAAGAAAATTTGCGTAATGCCAGAAGAAATCACTCCAAATTCATTTAAGTTTATTTACTGATTTGTTTTTCCAAAAAGGAAAAAAGTAATAAAGTAAGGAATCTCAATGGAAATGTATTCCGGTCAAAGAGGATATTATCAAAAAAAAAATTTTTCACCCACCATTCAAAACATTTTTGGACGAAACAAATAAATAAAAATTAAATAAAAGGAACTATCAACTAAATTAATATTTAGATAAACGGATTAATATCTTATTTACATAAAAGAGATTGAAGACAGCTCTTGTATTTGTTACTACTAAACGAAGAGAAATGTTACAAATAACAGCGAGTTAGGAAAATGAATTATAAGAAAATTTATCAATTTATGAAAATTAATCTTCAAACTAACCAATAATTAACACACATTAAATACATTAGTAAAAAAAATTATTTTTGCTTCCTCACTACTGAAGGAAGGGAAGTATTGTGTTCGTACGAAAATTGTGTGCTCAGAATCGAAAATTTCCATTAGTGTTTTATGTTTCAGACATCAAGGATCAAATTTGGTTCGGGGTCTGTCTGTTGGTAGTCAAATCGATGTGACAGGCATATTACTGAGTATTTTTATCCAAATTTCATGAAATTTTTAGGGATTACGCGTTGGTGCCTAGATGGTCTCATATCAATTTTATCAAATTCCATTCAGCACTTCCACTTACGCACGTGAAAACATATTTTTTTAGATATGCTAATATTTCAGTAAGTGCTCATCGATTTTGCTCATAGTTAGATAAAAGGTAGGTATGGTGAAAAAATAACGTATTGTCAATTTTATTGAATTCTGTTCACCAATTTCTCGTATTAATGCGCAAAAGTGTTTTTCTTAATATGTCTATATTTCTAAAACCGCAAGTTCGATTTGGCTCAAATTTGGAGAGAATTTAGGGATTGGGAAACGTAAAATGGAATAGGCAGCAATTTTATCAAATTCTATCTACTACTCCAAAAAATAATACTTCCGCTTTTAGATCAGGAAAGGGACTATTTAATATGCCTATAGTTTGAAAACGGCGCATTCGATTTGACCCAAACTTGGAGGAAATTTGGAGAACAGTATAGAAATTACTTAGTATCAATTTCATTGAATTCCATTTAATAATTAAAATTAATCAAAATAATTGTTAACAATATAATGGCTGTGAAATATTGAAGGCACTGATCATATGGAGTGGGAGATAAGCGGACCCTACACGGTCATTCGGAATTGCATTGCGAGGCACTAATGACGTTACGAATTATCGTGTAAGGTAGAGAATGAAGTACTGATGGTGGTGCAGTGCGGATTTCCGAACATCCGGAAATCAAAGGTTCATTCCCGAGAAGTGGAGGGGTGACTGAGGTAAAAGTAGTGGGGAGACTAACCATACTACTGGATAGGTTAGGTTACCTAGGCCTCACAACCATTATAAATTTCTGATTTTCATTATAAGTAAATAGTTAAATAATTTTTCATATCCTTTGTTTATATTTTTAAACCATCTTCAACTATTTCTTTTAAATAGTCAAGTGGGCAACAAATTGCAAACGGTGAGGAAGCTATACTGGCCTTCCTTGGCAGACGTTTTTTATTTATTTAAAACTATTTTACATTAAGAAACACTTTGCTTTCAGTGTATAAATTCCATAAGAATAAAAACTTTCATTTTTTTGCTCAATAAAGATTTATATTTACTAATTATTTATTTACTACATTCCTTTTAATTATGAACATAATTATTATTTTCATTTACATGTATATCAAATACATAGTAGGGGAAAGTATCTAAATGATACAGGTAGTGACTGCCATGATTGAAATGATTCTTGTCAGTCTAGAGAATGTCTTTAACAGTAGGGCCCAGCGACTCTAGGGCTAAGTCAAACTATTTTGTTGTTTCTGTAACCAACAGCAGATAGAAAATATCAAAAACACTAGCATAAGGAAACAACCATTTAGATTTTTAGTTTTTATAGTTAGTGAAATGTCTATAAAAACATTTTCGTTATTTCATTGTCGGGTACCAGCAAGAAACAAATACACTAGTACAAGGCAGGGGTCTTTTAAGTTTTTGGCCATATTGAGACCTCCACTAATTCCCGCTGGCCGCATTGACCAGGGATCTTGGTGATAAAAAAAATAGTTTGTCCTATAAATGACACTCCCATTGTAATATGAGCTTTTTAAGAAAAAAAGAATGATGCAATGAATGTTTTAGTATTATTATTATTAAATTTTGTAATGATGTAGAGATGGTTGACCGTTGATATAATATGAGGAGTTAATTGGGGGGTGCAGTCAAATAAATACTAAATTAAAACATAGCATTTATTTAATTTTTGCTGACATTTCGACCCACTTTACAGGTCGTCTTCAGGGCTACAAAAGATACAAAACATGTTGAAGATAAAAAATAAATATAAATAGATATAAAATAAGAAGTTGTCAGATACAGAAATAAAAAGATGATATCATAGATATAGTGGGTTACAATGTAGTTAAAATATTAAGTATTAGTAACCCAAGTAAGTAGTTACAAGTGTTAGTAACCCACTATATCTCTGATATCTTTTTATTTCTGTATCTGACAACTTCTTCTTATTTCATATCTATTTATATTTATTTTTTATCTTCAACATGTTTTGTATCTTTTGTAGCCCTGAAGATGGCCTGCAAAGTGGGTCGAAACGTCGGCAAAAATTAAATAAATACTATATTTTAATTTAGTATTTATTTGACTGCACCCCCACTTAACTCCTTCTCATATTAGATTTTTTATTTTTAAAATTTCACTAGGTAATCAAAGCTTTTGCAGATCGGATTGTTTTTTTTTTTTTTTTGTCCTATTCCTCACCTACCTTAAGGCTATATGGAGTTTTCCCGGGCAAGGGGATGAGGGCGGGGATTTAAAACTCCCCTGGCATAGGGACGCGAACTCGTGACTATTCTTATATCATTTGAGTCGTATATCAGGTTGCCAGGTAACAGCGGAGCTTTGCAAACACGTTAACCTATTCAGCCACCCCATCCACAAAAAGAACATAGTGAAACCGGTACTGAACCAGCTTCATCATATTAAGTTCACTTGCTAGTCACTACAGTACGAGTGGAGTTGGATTGGAGGTGTTGGCGGGACAGACTGTAGTTTTGAGGCCCTATAACAGGGAAACAACTATTTAGAAATTTCTGTTTCCCATAGTTTGTGAAATGCTTAAACACACCTTTACAATTATTTTAAAGCTTGACAAACAAAAAATATATAATGCATCGATTTGTTGTTTTGTAATTGTTTAAAAATTATTTCATCATACTTATGCGGGAAAGATAAAAGTGCCTGACACTGAAAATATTTCAACTTTGTATATAGCTTGAAAAAATAAATAGTAATAACATTTATTATATCTTTAACCCGTAATAACAGATTTGAATAATAAAATAAGCCCGATTTGAGCTGACATTTAATTTGAATGGTTAGTGAAAATTGTGTGAATCACACCTGCACCAACTTTTTTTTTTGTTTAGTTCCAAGCCTTAAATTATTCCTCCTATCGGAAGCATCACTTTAGTTTTCATTGACCAACATTAAAGCGGGGATCCATAGTAAGTCTCATTATTTTACAACTTTAGACACTGGCATAATTTCAATTTCATCAAATCAATTTCAACAAATTGTACTTTATAAAAACTAATATAGGGAAGTTGAACAAAAATAGGAAATAATGCTTAATATATTTCTCTTTTATGTTCCATTTTAAATTTTTTTTCAATAAAACATTTTTAAAAATTCACTTTTTGATCTACTAATTTTTAATTGGTAGCTTGACTTATTACCATTTCAATCAGATTATTTCCAATTCCTTGATTTCTTTCTTGGTGTAATTACTAAATTTCATTACTGATATATCCATATATATTCATTACTGATATATATATTCATCCAATCCCTATTGTAATAATAAATCAATAAAGATTTGGCATAAATTTGACAATTTATGTACTAGTTAAGTGACAAGAATACACTTCCAAAAAATTAAGAGAACACTCTGGAGAATGGAGTGCTTCTTCCAGCTTACAGAACGCTTCCATACATCTCACACATACATTCCAAGCATACTAACATACCCCAAAAGACATATTAGATGGTTGCAATTTTAATTATTTTCAAAAATCAAATGTAAGTTGTCTATAAGAAGACTTTAGGATTGCATTAAGAAGTGGATATAATTTCCATTTAAAAAAAAGAAGTTATTAACTAGTAAAATAAATTTAAATTATAAGACAGAAACCAGATTTAAAATTATAAAAGTGTCATGATGAATAGACTTTAAGGTGAAAGAAAATTAAATAAAAATAATCTTGATTTATGGATTAATGCTAAATTAAAATAAAGAGAATTTAAAAAAAGAAAACAGAAGTAAGAACAATTTGATATAGGATTTTTCAGTTATTTATGTTAATGAAATAGAGATGTAAATAAATTTTTTATACAAATAATAAAAGTGCAACCAAAAGTTCTAATTTATAAATTTACATAAAAAATACTGAAAGAATAATGGGTATGAAACTAAAAAACCCACCTTCAGCAAATGGATCAGTTCGCTCGGGAGAGATGATCATTCGCCTCCTCATTTGTCTGTATTCATCTTCTTTTTCTGCAATCTTGGGACGCCTCCTATCTGCAAAAGGATCGTAGTCCTTCTCACTCTATAAATAAAAATTAAGTTCGATTAATACTTTAACAGAACAAAACATATGACAACCAATAATAGTAAAAGTAATAATACCAATGCGATAAGTCTGTACAAAACTGAACAGATATAATATCTATCGGTGAAAGATGATTGCAAGTGTTAAATTTGGTAGTGAATAATGTTATTTTAAAATTAACTTTATACTAAGTCGTATATTTCATGCAAAAAAATAAATAAATAAAAGTAATTCAGACCACCAAGTATTACAGAGCCACTATTGGGTTGATACAAAAATTATGCAGTTTTTCACCATTGCTATATTATATGAATTATGTAAACAAAGCATATCGAATACACTCTCTTTCAACAATAATTTAATCAGTAAAACAGTTTTGTTCAGTGCATTTAAAGGTTTTGAATAAAAAATGTTGAAGTGCAGTTATCATCAAATTTAAATTAGGATGCACAGTGAAAACTGTTTGTAACATTAAAGAAGTGTGGGTTCAAGAGGCTATTTACAAATGTACTGTGCAATGTTGATTCCAGAAGTTTTGCAGAGGAGATTCAATCTGGAAGGTAAGGAAAGGTCATGGCCCCTACTCTGCAGTTGTCAACGACCAGCTGAGATCAACACTGAAAGAAGATCCAACCAAAACCACCTGAGAAATGACGGTTAGAACTCTGCGTTAACCAATCCACCAACGTACGTCACTTGGAGGCAATTGATAAGGCAAAACAGTTGGTCAAGAGTGTGTCAAACCAATTAAACGACCACCAAAAAAATGACCGCTAAGAAATCTGTTCCATGCTTTTGACACACAATAAAATCAATCTATTTCTCAATCACTTAGTGTCATGTGATGAAAAATGGATCTTATACGACAATAGAAGATGTTGCAGTGAATAGCTGGACAAAGATGAAGAACCAAGAAATTTCCCAAAGCTCAGCACGCAAAAAGTTATGGTCAAAGTTTGATGGTCTACTGTTGGTGTTATCCACTACAGCTTTCTCAATCGTGGTAAGACTATCACTGCCAACAAGTACTGTCAACAAATTGATGACATGAATCAGATATTGCTGCTTCTTTGGCCAACGTTGATTAATCGCAGAGGGCGATCCTTCTCCAAGAAAACGTCAGACCACAGGTTGCACAACTAACGCTATGACTACAAAAATTGGCCTACAAGATTCTTCAACATCCACCCTATTCACCTGACCAATTAACTATTGAATTTTATTTTTTCAGCCACCTGGACAACAATTTACATGAGAGAAATTTCCAAAACCATGATGACATTGAAATTTTTTTTATGAGTTCACTGGATCCAGAGATCCAAATTATTTGTAGTAGGATAAAAAACTTATTAAATATTGGCAAATTGATTCTGATGGAAATTATTTTGATTAAATTTGTATGGTTGAAATGAATATTAAAAACCTGCATTAATTTTTCATCAACCCAATACATAGTTGGACAAAGAAACTAAAGGTAATACAATTATAAGTAGGCAAAATAGGTTAGTTCATAACACACACAGTACATCAAAATTAACTGGATGCTTCTAGTAGTCACACGTCATTGTGTGAAAAAAAATACAGCATGAGTTTACTACACCAATGATGCTAGAAAATCTGATATAAGAATAAATGTACATAGAAACAGTTGACTGAATAGTTAACTAGTAATAAAAACATTAAAAAACTATAGGAATAGAAAAATCATTCAAACACCAATAGAACCAACTTTTGTTAATAATGATTTATTTGCATAACCTCTAGGTTTTCTAATTATTTTAATTATAGAATTTTTGTCCACTACCTTGAGAAGAAACACCAAAGATAGCACAAACGCAAGAACCAATCTAATAATTACAGACACACATTATTTTTTTATTAAAAAATTGTAAAATTAATATAAAAAAATTATTTCATATACGCATATATTTCAAAGAAATATCAACTTAACTTGAAGTATTTATTCAATAAAAAGTATAAAACCGGATTCTAAAATGAAATAAGCAGTACTTACAAAATAAAACACTTAATTTACAGGATTTTATCAAAAATTAGAATGATTCGCTTAATTTCGGTTGATATTAATGAATCCTCTGACTGCGTATATGATGATTCATTTTCAAAGATTCATTAAATTGCAAATCAAGAATTGGATCGGATTAGAAGAACACTTTTTTAACAGCGGTTAAATTTATTAAATTGGGATTGATTAAAACAATACATGAAAAAATAAAAGAGGTGTGATGGTTAGATTAGTAATTGTCAATATAAGGGAATGGAATTATTTACAAATTTATACCTGAGCAACATCATTAAGAAGAGCAGCTGGAGCAGTGTAGCCAGCTCGCTTCTGGTTAGAGAAGGATGCTGGCTCGAAATCATCATCCTGAAATTAATAAAACAAAATTTACTAAAATAAATAGAAAACAAGGGTCTAGATAAAGTTTATATTACAAATAAATACATGTTTGTATTAATATCCCTATTCCCGCTAAGCTTATTTACTAAAACAGTTTCATCACCATTCCCCAGAATCCAGATAAATGGTTGATTTATGATTATTTATGTAATCAGTGAGTGAAGTGATTTGAATAGCTGATATCACACTAACTTAAGTAGAGGAAATAAGTAAAAACAATCAATCACCTCTGCTTAAAAGAATAGATAAGAAAACATTTAATAAGAACACACATTAACTACATGCAGATGAAGGTTTGATAACTACTTTAGACTTTCCTATTCCAGGTATTTAAGTTTGTTAAAAAAAAAAAACACAATGGTAGTGATATCATGAACATTTCTTTAATGGATGGGATTATAATCCCAAAACATAATAAAAAAAGTTTAAAAAACAGAAAATAATTGAAACCAACTATTGCTAAACAACTAATGGTACTAGTACACAAGAGTTCCGCACAGATTACACATGGTTCACGATCACTTCGGTCACACTTGTTCATGGAATCCCGAATGCGTTCGTGTTTATCCGAAAGAGAACGAAGGCGACCGATCTCTTGGGCCAGTTACTATTAACTTTCCTGCCATTTAAGTACTTCTATAACCTTAACCATGTTCAGTTATATAGCAGGAGCCGACTTACATTCGAACTTGTACTTGAACTTGAACTTACATTCGAACTTGAATTGAAATAGTACATATATTATAGATCGGTAAAAAAGAAATAGTAATAAATAAAAACCTTTAATTACTATATCTCTGAATGCTATTTCACGATATTATTTTTCTTATTGACGATTACCATTATTCATTATCTTGGAATCATTAGATATTCTTCGTCAGTTGTTTCCCCAATACGGTAATTCTTTTCTCGAAAATAAACGATTTTTTTTTTTTTAATCTCCATTTTCAGATTACCAAGAAAAGGGACTGCGAATAACAATAATTACACAGCTAATTCATTCAATAAAAATAATAGCGATTAAAACGAAAAAATAAATTTCAAGTTAACAGTTCACTAACTGGTAAATCTACGAGTTTTGTTGGGACTGGACATATTTGGAATAAATATATATCTATATAACAATTGTTGGATACATTTTATTTATTAATGTTGTACACTTTTCAAGAATTCAAAAGAATTACATAAACTTGATGCTCAATCTCAAATCAGACAGTATATGCATAGAAAGCGTCCCCCCTCCCGCTAGAAAATCGTGAACCCTCGTATTATTAGAAACCTAAAAAATTACATAAACTAGATAGACGATTGCGCAATTTTAAAAAAGGCTTGCTAAAATAAATTACAAATTCAATTATTTCAACTTCTATTGAAAAATTTGAATAACAAATAAAAAGATAATAGATAACTTCAAATTATTTATTATTCAAATGATAAAAAAATCTTTTATACACAGATATAGAACATAATATACAGTATATGCATATTTACAGCCACTACATGTAAGCACGTGTTAATAAAATAGTTATTACTAAAAGCCATTTTTTTTTAACAGGCCTTGAAGAAACGACTCAAACATTATTTTATGTATACAACCTTTATAATAAAAATTAATAATTAACTAATTAGTAAATACACAATTCGTTAATAAATTGTTTATAAGGAAGTTCCATGAAGGGAGTACATTTTTTTTTCTTCGAAAATGGATTTTGTGATGGGGCAATAGCTGACGTCATAAAATACGACCACATTCGGCTGTTTTCGGGATTCCATGGACAAGTGTGATTGAAGTGATTGTGAACCACGCATATAATCCATGCGGAAATCTTGTGAACTAGTACCCAACTAACAATATAAATGCTAACCTCGAATAAAATTGAGAAACTTATAGAACATAGTTAACTTCATACAAGAATATCATTTCCTATCTATTGAAATAAATTACTCACATCAACTTCATCATTGGCTGCAATGGAAGTCACGTATCCCTCAAATTTGCTACCAACACCATAGATGTCCCGATCATAAAATCCACTTTCTCCAAGTCCAACTCCTGATTTGTCTGTGTTGCCATCTTCTTCATTTAAATTTTTCTTGCGAGATTGAATCTCTTTAATCTGTGCTTCAATATCTGTAAAGATAACACAAACAATGATTATTACTGATAATGTAAATAAACGGTTTGACAAGTACTTCTTTCAAAATAAAACCATTAATTTACATTTTACAACTAATACTTAAGTATAAATCAGGAATAAAAAATAATACTGTGAAAAGTAAAATAAATTAAGTGAACCGGCAATAATGTTAGAGCAATACCAGACAACCAATGTTAAGATCAATACATTAGAACATTAGAAAAAAAACTGGCAATAAAGAAATTCAGAATTTAACATAGCTCCTAATATATCAGAAACAATTACGGTAATGAACAAAAATCACTCAGGATTGTTTAAAATAGAAAAAATAAATAAATACCTTCATGAGTCTTAGCTATGTTCGCCATTTTTACACGAACACCACCAAATGTGTCAACAAACACAAACCTACAGCTGAATAATGCTGGGCCCACACTACAGGCAAACTCGGTTTGGCAAAATTTCTGGCAAACTTGCGGCAAAATAAGGAACTAATCGAAGCTCGTTAACCATGGAAAATGTGCTCAGTAGGACGGAGTCAGTCCAAGCAAACAACATGGACCTTCTAGAATTGTCGTGGGGTTGATTGCTACTTTTGGTTATGTCTTCTATAAAAAAAAAGCAAGTAGAAGAAAATAAGTGGAGAAAACAAAGAAGATGACAGATGTCGAAAATTCATGAGAATCATACAAGGTAAGCATAAAATTGATCTTAGTTTTCCTTATTAATATCAATTGTTTATTTCTTTGCTATGACATTTCTCTATATATACATTTTACCTTGTTTTTCAAAATATATTTCTGTAAAGCTAATTAACGCGATTTTATGTAATTTTTCACACACAATTGCTAGGATTGTCAATTTCCTTCCGTTAAACATAGTCAATTATTAATTCTCTAACCAGTGAAAATTCTTGATATATCCTCCGTTTACTGCATTCAATTCATGCACTATGTGCATATTTGATATAGGTTAACTTTCAAGATTTTTTTTTTTAAATTTTGACTTTATTTACCTATACAAAAACACTGTATGGGCATGGAAATGAAACAAACCCTTTTATACATCAATTATACTTACAAGAAGCACACAATTTTCTGATTTTATAAAGAAAAAGATATTCAAAGTTCTTGATTACTTAAGAAATAATGAATTTCCCCTTAATTACTTTGCAATGAGCTGCCAATATTTTTTCAATTATTTGATTCAAGGAATGCATTTAAAAATTTTTTTCTTCATTTATTTATGAGGTTCTTTGATTTACTGTATAGGCATTTTTTACAATTTAGTGAATGGTTAATTCCTCTTTTACTAAATTTGCAAGTGTTACTTTATTATTTTTCAATTCAAACAATCAATTAAGTCTGTAGTAAGTTAATTTAGTTCTATTTTCTTTTCTAACGTCCAACTTAAGTACATCATCGCAAAGGAAACAATGGACAAGGGGTGTTAATTATTTAGCATTTAACTGGTTATTTATATTTAGTTAATTGGAAGTTCATTGTTAGTTTTCGATATCCCTCCTAGTCTATGATTAAGTTATTTTTTTTTATACTTTTTCATATAGCAAAACAATGTACATAGGGTAATGACTATAAAGAGAAAATGCCCTATGATGCCTTAGCCATTCTGTCTTGTTTCCTTAACCCTCCACATTATCTGTTTACCCGTAACAAATTATTTATTTTCTTCTGTTATGAATTTGATTCCATTGTTTCCTATTTCAATTAAGGATTAGTTTTGTTTTTTCCTCGACTTTCATTATTAATGTAAATGTTACATAGCTTTTATTTGTTCTCTGTAAAATTGAGTCTTAAAGTGTGCCAGACATAGACCCTCCTCTAAAAATGAAAATCTCAACTAAATGTGTTATAAGCATCGCAAAAAATAGAAGGGAAAAAATTATAACGAAATTAAAAAATCTGATTTTTTAGTTGGATGATACCAGGCCTAAGATTGGTAATTTTTTTTTTTTTTTCAGCGTTCCCCTACTGTTGAGTGTGAACATGAAGGACAGGCTGAAGTACTCGATGATTCATCTTTATTGAACAACGGTATGTATTGCAGCCTAAGACAAAAAAAAAAAATCAAACAAAGGCGAAGAGGAAATTATGGCCCCGTTCAATAAACTCGTCCAAATAATAGAAAAACAGTGCGGAAATACAAATAAACCCAAAACAATTGCACAGAATTATGGGTCCATGTTAGGAGAAGGGTTGGACCAATTACCTCAACCAGAACAAAGTTTGTGCATATGTGAAATGGAACGAGGCTTGGGGAAGATGTGTGCGGACTTTGTGGAATAAAAATATTTGTAATATTGAAACCAGCACTAGTTTAAACAAAATGGCAGCCTGTGCCCGTGGTATTGCGAATGCACCATAAAGAGTGATTTTCCAGCAACATGCTGGGCCATTTAAAAAATATAAAACAGACACTTTTTCTGTAAATACTAGTAAGGTTGTACCTCCAAAAAGACATATTATTAATAAAGCCTTTTTAAAGGTGTTTGAAGAAGATGGAGAATAATCCAGTAAATTATTAGAATACTCATTAGTTATTATTCAGCTTTTTCTGATGCATTTAAAAATGCTTTATTTGTAATGTTAAATTCCTTTATTCATGATGTTGTATAAACAAAAACATATCTTGTATTCATTAATTTGTATGTTGTATTAATTCATTTATATTTTGTATTGTATATTTGAACCTAAAAATATTTATTTGTTCATTAATAGAATTTCTATTTTGTATAATAATAACAAAGTTAAGATATAAAGATTAATTTTCTAGTAACATTATAATTATTAAATTTAGTTTATGTATATGATTTATTATATTTTGCAAATATATGGGTTGTATGTATTATAAATAACATCTTCCATCATTTCCCTTCAAACATATATATTACAACTTGTGTATAAATAACCAATAAATGATAGGTATATGTCAAATTTCTAAAATTAAAAATGCGAATAACAAAACAAAGGCAGTCTCACTATGTGGTTAAAATTTCCACTTAGACTTAATTGTTATTTTAATCAGACAATGTTTTATACAAATATAACTTTTTTAGGCTTAGGATGGTCGATTATTTATTGAAGTAGGCATCAAAATTGGCACTGTATGATGTTAGTCTCTAACCATGATACAGTCATTTAATTACAAATATAGTATTGTATTATGGTGTTTCAATATGTGCTTAAAATGTTATTAATGCAACTTTATTAGAGTCTAGGTTAGTAATTTTGTGAGTTGTTCGGTTTTATTTGAACTGAAGATATAGAAAGAAAAAAAAACAGATGTAGATTAACACTAATGTCTGTGAAATGTAAAATTAGTTGACAGACCGATACAAATATGGGCACTAAAAAAGTAACTGATAATGATCATTTTAAAAAAATAATGAATACTTGTTTTCAACTCTCTAAAGTAGAATAAGCATAGGTTAAAAAATAAATAAATTTTGAACTTTTTTTTTTATATTGACTAAATAATATGTGAAAATGGATATTATTTTATTTTAATGTATTGCGAAGTATTGGGATCATTAAAAATTTCAACTCTGAGTTTTCAAAAACATAAAAAAACTTTTTGCTTAATGGTTTTTTTGTGTAAATGCAGAATCTAGCTAAAAAATGAAAAGTTCAGTGATTATACTTATTTATTAAGGTAGATAGGAGTATGGCAGCGATCTTAGGGCAAATTGTTGGCTGAAATAATATTACTAAAAGTGGAACTTGACATAATTGGTTTTATAAAGTATTTCAATTCAACTATAAAACGGAAATAAACAATGAAGAGTAGTATTAAATGAAGAAGAAACATAAAATGGAATAATTAGATATGAATAATAAAATGTAATTAGATGAATTAACAAAAACTTAGTTTATGATAATAAAAGGTAATGAATAAGTACGAAAGGTTATGATATATATACCTGACACTCAAAAAGATGATAAGTACAAATAGCAAATATATGGAAATATAATAAATCAAATAAATATATATAAGTAATGAAAAATGGGAGAAACAAGTAATGGATTAAAAGTTTTGTTATTTAAAATATATTATGTAAAAATGTTCAAAAATATATGTTATATTTCATTATATCTTATTTAATTTTATTTATATGAACCCTTCCGCTAACAAACTTCCATAATTCATTTAATGGCAAATAATATCTTCATTTAATTTTTGTAGTTTATAATGATTTGTTTGTTATTACTGAAAGACAGAAAGCTGGTTGCACAGAAAATTTTGATTAAACTCCTGTATTATTGTATAATTAAGTGGTCTTTAATATCATTGAGGTCTTATCCCCATTAATGTCACTTTACGTAGCTTAAATGCCTAAATGTTCAACATTTCATCCTCTAAAGTACCTTTAATTTGATTAATTTTTAATAATTAACCATCTCTCATTATTAAGAATTACGAAAAAATGCTAAATATAACTTTTGAAAGAATTTGATAATTGAAAAATGGAGAAAAAAGGGAAAATGTGTATTGAGGATGAAAATAAATTACCAGCAATACTTGTCAGAAGTTATATCATTGGAAAGCGGATAATTTTAGAAAAAAACAATATGAAATATAGAAAGTAATGGAGAGAGATTATTATAAATAATAATTTGTGTAAACTAATATTATTTAACGGAAATCACATTTTTTCAAGGAAATTAAATAAATGAAATTTACTAACTAAATTTAAACTGTTTTTAAGTTTGAAAAAACTATTTAAAATTCACCTAATCAACGCAATGTAATTGTTAAAAAAGCTATTTCATAGTACTAATGTGAAAGAAGTGAAATATAAAAATATTTCATGGATGTATAAAGCCTATGTTTATAACCTTAAATACATTTACTATAGTTTTAATAATTCTAAATCTGATATTATATTTAAATAATTAGGTATCAACGTCCGTTGGTCGTCGTATAACATTTAAAAAAAATTAAATTAGTGAGTAATTTGATGAATTTTCCCTTTGTTAAATTAGTGTAAAAACTTTTGAGCTATCTATGACAGGCAATGAAAATCTTGTAATCTCTTTGTAGTAAATTTTACAATGGAAAATAACAGTTTAATAACTAATAGGCGTAGAATCTATAATCATTTATAGGTTGAATATAGAGATATACTTTAAAATCTCTCTAGATATATGTATATTGCTCAGAGACCGGAGTTATGTGGTTTACGAAAAAATATGGGGTAGGGAGGTTTTTATTATCTACCGTTGATATAATTAATAGGGTTTCTGTTATTTTAGTGATGTTAATGATTTGTTAGCAGTAAACTTTAAGCTATAGACCCGTTAAAACTGCACTTCAAAAATTTTATAATTGCTCAACATTTCCAGAAAGTAATTTCTATTCAAAGTAGAAGGTAAGTGA